TGATCTAAGAATGTTGCTAAAATACAACTCAGGTCCTCCGGATGGAATCGAGGCTATACATCTGCAACAATTTGTTAATTTATCACACTAATTCGCACCTGTTCAGTAGCGAACGTCTATCAGTGCTTTGCGTAATCATGGCCATGCGTAAGCGTTTTGGTAGAGCGCCCTTGGCAAGCGCCAAATCTTGTATTTTTGCCGCGGTTTCTTCATCAGCTTCCTAAAGTGAAGTTCTAAATAAATATCAACAGATGATTTTAGGCACTTCACACGGTGCAGGAATATTCTAGAGGTTTTAAAGGGTCTTAATTTCGTGTGGTATTATACACACTTCAAATTCAAGCCAGGAACAGTTGATGGAAAAATTAGTCAACTATACGTTCTCAGTGACAAGAGCATTGCACCGGCATCGCAAAAGCGATTCCTGCCGGAGGATCTATAGTTGACTCATTTTTCCATCAACTGTTCCTGGCTTGAATTGAAGTGTGTATAATACTTCTCAAAATTAAGACGCTTTAAAACCTCTTAAATATCAACTGTTGTGAAAAGACAGTAGTTTGAATATTTGCAAATCCTGATAGATAAATGTCGTGGACTCACACATTTGTTATCGGCGTCTCCCCGTCGTTTTGTTCCAACAAGACTCTCAAATAATAGTCGCCTGATAGGAGAGATACGTTACTGAGTTTGATTGCGATCAAGGGATAGGGGGGGGCGCTTTAAGAAGAACTGTTAAAAAGCTAGAGCAGTATAAGGCTTATCACTAACCTATTTTCAGTTGATCAGCTAAACATTCATGCAGGACTTCAAACTAAAGGTGATTCCAAAAAACAACGTAGTTTCCACTCAGGTCTTTTTCCATTGCAAATTTGCGCATCTCAGATTCGAGAGCCCCAGAAGTTCCTCTCGCGTCTGTCACATTGAAAACAAAAGAAATTTTTTCATACTCTTTTACGACAACAGTTTAGAGAAAGAGGTCAGGACTATTGAATTGTCTTGTTATACTCATAGCGACAGGAAATTCTCTATTACCTTTTCATTTCCTATATTTTCAATGGAAACTAACTTTAACTTCGAGACTCACCTTGTAATTCCAAATCAGGTTGTACGCTGTCAGATCTTGACTGAATCTGTAAAAAAGATCCGTTTAAATACCATTGCTTTTTCATCTTTCAAACGACTAGAACATTTCCCATTTTCTTAATATGAACACTTACTTGTAATAAAACAACTGGATTTAAATTCTCACATCTCCCTGCTTTGAATCCTATTTTGTCCTCCAATGCGAGAGATATCCTTCAAGTTGATTCCTTGACGTTCCTCTCGCTTTTCCTGAGCTGTAACAGACAAGTATAGCGCGTGAAATAACAGGCTTATACGTACATACAAGCATGCATCATGAAATTTTGGAACACGATTGTTGCTTTAAAACGTACTCTGCAAGCTTTACATTGTCACGAATTGATAAATGATCTTCTTTAGTCTCCGGTGCTGAAGGAAAGATAAAAACTTTCCAACAAAATTGCTTCTTTACAAAAAGGTTTTACACTTCTGAATGAATTACTATGTTATATTATTTCGTCAGTGGGGCAGTTGGCACAGTATAAGGATGAATGATGGAGTTTAGTTACCAAAGCAGTTGATACCACTTAGTCACTATTATGATTGGTTAGTCAGAACCACTGCAATGGGTTTATGTAAATAATGGCCCGCAAAAAATTCTCAAAGATTTCCTACCTCGTCAGGGCTTTCAAGGTAATAGAGCAAACCAGCAGGCTGTGAAAATCGTATTCAAATTTATTACATAATGGTTTATGAACCAAAACTTACGAACAGGAAATCCCGCATTTAAACTTTATTGTATATTTTAGACATTAAAAACTATAACTGCTTTAATACGAACATTATTCTCACAAGTAATGCCATTGCTCTTGGATGACCAGTTGTCCAGAGAGCCACTAGATGTCCACTCAATTGCCTATATGCCAACAATAAAGATTATAAATTACTTATGGAGTATGCTTGTTAGTCTCAATTGAACTATTTACAGATGGCTAGTATATAGAGGATTATAAAATCACAAGTTTTAAGATGAATCTAAGAATGTTGCTAAAATACAACTCAGGTCCTCCGGATGGAATCGAGGCTATACATCTGCAACAATTTGTTAATTTATCACACTAATTCGCACCTGTTCAGTAGCGAACGTCTATCAGTGCTTTGCGTAATCATGGCCATGCGTAAGCGTTTTGGTAGAGCGCCCTTGGCAAGCGCCAAATCTTGTATTTTTGCCGCGGTTTCTTCATCAGCTTCCTAAAGTGAAGTTCTAAATAAATATCAACAGATGATTTTAGGCACTTCACACGGTGCAGGAATATTCTAGAGGTTTTAAAGGGTCTTAATTTCGTGTGGTATTATACACACTTCAAATTCAAGCCAGGAACAGTTGATGGAAAAATTAGTCAACTATACGTTCTCAGTGACAAGAGCATTGCACCGGCATCGCAAAAGCGATTCCTGCCGAGGATCTATAGTTGACTCATTTTTCCATCAACTGTTCCTGGCTTGAATTGAAGTGTGTATAATACTTCTCAAAATTAAGACGCTTTAAAACCTCTTAAATATCAACTGTTGTGAAAAGACAGTAGTTTGAATATTTGCAAATCCTGATAGATAAATGTCGTGGACTCACACATTTGTTATCGGCGTCTCCCCGTCGTTTTGTTCCAACAAGACTCTCAAATAATAGTCGCCTGATAGGAGAGATACGTTACTGAGTTTGATTGCGATCGAGGGATAGGGGGGGCGCTTTAAGAAGAACTGTTAAAAAGCTAGAGCAGTATAAGGCTTATCACTAACCTATTTTCAGTTGATCAGCTAAACATTCATGCAGGACTTCAAACTAAAGGTGATTCCAAAAAACAACGTAGTTTCCACTCAGGTCTTTTTCCATTGCAAATTTGCGCATCTCAGATTCGAGAGCCCCAGAAGTTCCTCTCGCGTCTGTCACATTGAAAACAAAAGAAATTTTTTCATACTCTTTTACGACAACAGTTTAGAGAAAGAGGTCAGGACTATTGAATTGTCTTGTTATACTCATAGCGACAGGAAATTCTCTATTACCTTTTCATTTCCTATATTTTCAATGGAAACTAACTTTAACTTCGAGACTCACCTTGTAATTCCAAATCAGGTTGTACGCTGTCAGATCTTGACTGAATCTGTAAAAAAGATCCGTTTAAATACCATTGCTTTTTCATCTTTCAAACGACTAGAACATTTCCCATTTTCTTAATATGAACACTTACTTGTAATAAAACAACTGGATTTAAATTCTCACATCTCTCCTGGCTTTGAATCCTATTTTTGTCTCCAATGCGAGGGATATCCTTCAAGTTGATTCCTTGACGTTCCTCTCGCTTTTCCTGAGCTGTAACAGACAAGTATAGCGCGTGAAATAACAGGCTTATACGTACATACAAGCATGCATCATGAAATTTTGGAACACGATTGTTGCTTTAAAACGTACTCTGCAAGCTTTACATTGTCACGAATTGATAAATGATCTTCTTTAGTCTCCGGTGGCTGAAGGAAAGATAAAAACTTTCCAACAAAATTGCTTCTTTACAAAAAGGTTTTACACTTCTGAATGAATTACTATTAATTATTTCGTCAGTGGGGCAGTTGGCACAGTATAAGGATGAATGATGGAGTTTAGTTACCAAAGCAGTTGATACCACTTAGTCACTATTATGATTGGTTAGTCAGAACCACTGCAATGGGTTTATGTAAATAATGGCCCTTGCAAAAAATTCTCAAAGATTTCCTACCTCGTCAGGGCTTTCAAGGTAATAGAGCAAACCAGCAGGCTGTGAAAATCGTATTCAAATTTATTACATAATGGTTTATGAACCAAAACTTACGAACAGGAAATCCCGCATTTAAACTTTATTGTATATTTTAGACATTAAAAACTATAACTGCTTTAATACGAACATTATTCTCACAAGTAATGCCATTGCTCTTGGATGACCAGTTGTCCAGAGAGCCACTAGATGTCCACTCAATTGCCTATATGCCAACAATAAAGATTATAAATTACTTATGGAGTATGCTTGTTAGTCTCAATTGAACTATTTACAGATGGCTAGTATATAGAGGATTATAAAATCACAAGTTTTAAGATGAATCTAAGAATGTTGCTAAAATACAACTCAGGTCCTCCGGATGGAATCGAGGCTATACATCTGCAACAATTTGTTAATTTATCACACTAATTCGCACCTGTTCAGTAGCGAACGTCTATCAGTGCTTTGCGTAATCATGGCCATGCGTAAGTGTTTTGGTAGAGCGCTTTGGCAAGCGCCAAATCTTGTATTTTTGCCGCGGTTTCTTCATCAGCTTCCTAAAGTGAAGTTCTAAATAAATATCAACAGATGATTTTAGGCACTTCACACGGTGCAGGAATATTCTACAGGTTTTAAAGGGTCTTAATTTCGTGTGGTATTATACACACTTCAAATTCAAGCCAGGAACAGTTGATGGAAAAATTAGTCAACTATACGTTCTCAGTGACAAGAGCATTGCACCGGCATCGCAAAAGCGATTCCTGCCGGAGGATCTATAGTTGACTCATTTTTCCATCAACTGTTCCTGGCTTGAATTGAAGTGTGTATAATACTTCTCAAAATTAAGACGCTTTAAAACCTCTTAAATATCAACTGTTGTGAAAAGACAGTAGTTTGAATATTTGCAAATCCTGATAGATAAATGTCGTGGACTCACACATTTGTTATCGGCGTCTCCCCGTCGTTTTGTTCCAACAAGACTCTCAAATAATAGTCGCCTGATAGGAGAGATACGTTACTGAGTTTGATTGCGATCAAGGGATAGGGGGGGGCGCTTTAAGAAGAACTGTTAAAAAGCTAGAGCAGTATAAGGCTTATCACTAACCTATTTTCAGTTGATCAGCTAAACATTCATGCAGGACTTCAAACTAAAGGTGATTCCAAAAAACAACGTAGTTTCCACTCAGGTCTTTTTCCATTGCAAATTTGCGCATCTCAGATTCGAGAGCCCCAGAAGTTCCTCTCGCGTCTGTCACATTGAAAACAAAAGAAATTTTTTCATACTCTTTTACGACAACAGTTTAGAGAAAGAGGTCAGGACTATTGAATTGTCTTGTTATACTCATAGCGACAGGAAATTCTCTATTACCTTTTCATTTCCTATATTTTCAATGGAAACTAACTTTAACTTCGAGACTCACCTTGTAATTCCAAATCAGGTTGTACGCTGTCAGATCTTGACTGAATCTGTAAAAAAGATCCGTTTAAATACCATTGCTTTTTCATCTTTCAAACGACTAGAACATTTCCCATTTTCTTAATATGAACACTTACTTGTAATAAAACAACTGGATTTAAATTCTCACATCTCTCCTGGCTTTGAATCCTATTTTTGTCTCCAATGCGAGGGATATCCTTCAAGTTGATTCCTTGACGTTCCTCTCGCTTTTCCTGAGCTGTAACAGACAAGTATAGCGCGTGAAATAACAGGCTTATACGTACATACAAGCATGCATCATGAAATTTTGGAACACGATTGTTGCTTTAAAACGTACTCTGCAAGCTTTACATTGTCACGAATTGATAAATGATCTTCTTTAGTCTCCGGTGGCTGAAGGAAAGATAAAAACTTTCCAACAAAATTGCTTCTTTACAAAAAGGTTTTACACTTCTGAATGAATTACTATTTAATTATTTCGTCAGTGGGGCAGTTGGCACAGTATAAGGATGAATGATGGAGTTTAGTTACCAAAGCAGTTGATACCACTTAGTCACTATTATGATTGGTTAGTCAGAACCACTGCAATGGGTTTATGTAAATAATGGCCCTCGCAAAAAATTCTCAAAGATTTCCTACCTCGTCAGGGCTTTCAAGGTAATAGAGCAAACCAGCAGGCTGTGAAAATCGTATTCAAATTTATTACATAATGGTTTATGAACCAAAACTTACGAACAGGAAATCCCGCATTTAAACTTTATTGTATATTTTAGACATTAAAAACTATAACTGCTTTAATACGAACATTATTCTCACAAGTAATGCCATTGCTCTTGGATGACCTGTTGTCCAGAGAGCCACTAGATGTCCACTCAATTGCCTATATGCCAACAATAAAGATTATAAATTACTTATGGAGTATGCTTGTTAGTCTCAATTGAACTATTTACAGATGGCTAGTATATAGAGGATTATAAAATCACAAGTTTTAAGATGAATCTAAGAATGTTGCTAAAATACAACTCAGGTCCTCCGGATGGAATCGAGGCTATACATCTGCAACAATTTGTTAATTTATCACACTAATTCGCACCTGTTCAGTAGCGAACGTCTATCAGTGCTTTGCGTAATCATGGCCATGCGTAAGTGTTTTGGTAGAGCGCCCTTGGCAAGCGCCAAATCTTGTATTTTTGCCGCGGTTTCTTCATCAGCTTCCTAAAGTGAAGTTCTAAATAAATATCAACAGATGATTTTAGGCACTTCACACGGTGCAGGAATATTCTAGAGGTTTTAAAGGGTCTTAATTTCGTGTGGTATTATACACACTTCAAATTCAAGCCAGGAACAGTTGATGGAAAAATTAGTCAACTATACGTTCTCAGTGACAAGAGCATTGCACCGGCATCGCAAAAGCGATTCCTGCCGGAGGATCTATAGTTGACTCATTTTTCCATCAACTGTTCCTGGCTTGAATTGAAGTGTGTATAATACTTCTCAAAATTAAGACGCTTTAAAACCTCTTAAATATCAACTGAACTAATATGTACATTCATCAGAGCTAAAAAAGGGCAGAGCATTATAAATGACGTTCGTCAAAAGCAGAAAATTCTGAATGGATCAATGAATGAATAAAACGTACCTCGATTATCGCCTTCAGAACCATACCAGCACCTTTCACAATTGTTGTCGACGGATGCTGAAATTGTTGAGGAACGAATTCAAAACCACGATTGGTAAGAACTATTAGCGGGGCAATAGTAAAACATACATAAGCGAAGAAATGGTAAAATTGGTACTATTTATTGCCGTTTTATCGTAAACCTACCTGGAACAATCGATAAATGCAATGACCGATTTCTAGACACACAAATAACAGACTTCATGAGTTGCTCCCATGCATAGGTCAAGCTAGTGGTCGTGGTAGACTTCACTAAAAATGTAAAGAGAGAAAGGCAATTTAATCAACTCTCAACGTCAGTCAAAGAGCTATAAACTACTAAGAAGGCAAGTTGAATGAAAACTCCTCAAATCTCTTTGTAGCATACCTGCAACTTTCTCCAGTAATTTCCCAAACTGTTCATCGTCTGTTGTCTCACTAAGAGGAATATGCAATAGTCGATTTATTATAACAGACCACATGATTGATTCAAAATATTAGAAGCAATCACACCTTACTATTAGTTTAACATGAATGTCCAACTTCACCCCCCACATTATTTTGATATATTGCAAAGCAACTTGAACTTCACCTATAAGGAGGACACAGAGCAAACGTCAAAAAATCAAGCAATCCACTTATACCTAAAACCCCAGTGGAACGATTCTAGAACAAAAGTTTTCATGGTTAATCTATTTCCTGTGTTAATTAGAAAGGTAGTCCAAATTACAAAGGCAGTTGCTACAAATCACTTGCTGAGTTTTGCAAGGGAATTTCTCTTCCAAAACAAGGCTATATACATACAAGAGGGATTGAAAAATAAAATGAATTGGTTCAGCATAGATTATAGGCAACCAAAACCACACATCTTACCACATTTATCGTGAGAATTCCTAACAAACTGCTTGGAAATTTTTCACAGGATAACAGAGAGCTTTTGTTTACCTGTTCTTGTCGAATGTCATAGTTATCGTGCCTTGGCTATATAAAACAACAGAATTGGTTTCGATAAAATTGGATCCTGTTAACATGCAAATTTCAAAGTTGGCTGAGTTTACGTATTTCGTTTCTTGCATCTATTTAGCTCGGAAATTTCGCCGCTATATTCTGAACGAAATACTCTTTTTTAAATTTAAATATGTCCGGTCTGACCATTTTGGCCACTTAAAGAAAAGCCCTGTCTTTACCTGCCATAGAGCACGCACAACATGTCGACAGCGGCGTGAGTCACGGCTTCATTATTCCTCTTCAAAGCTTTCACAGTTTTCACACCAACCTTCTCACGGAAGTGAACTGGTTGTGTAAACAGCATGTTTTGCAGTTAAAGATAAACGTTTCTCACCTAGTGAGCGTTGTGAAAGCGCGAAACCTGCTTTTGATCGAAACCAACTTCTCAAATCGTGAAACAGTGCTTCGAGATCTTTATCTCATATTTTGTTTTGGTCTCCTGAAAATAGACGAAACTTTTTAATTATTTTATGTATATATAGAACACCTGTGAAGGTAATAGCAGTCAGATAATGTATATTTTAGGGTTGAACACTAAATAAATTTATTGGCAAAGATATACAATACCTTCGTGAGCAATGAGCATTGTGATGGCATTAATGATAAGTCTTTCTTTATTCCCCGAGAAAAGTCCTACAAAATATTTAAAATCGTTTGAAATATATATTGGAGTTTAAAAGACTTAATATTCCAGCTGTACTTCTAGCGAGAAAATTTCAAAACTACCATTTCATGGATTCGGACCCAGTCAACTCTGCAACCAGAGTTACCGCAGCCTAGTCCCTAGGCCTCTTAACGTTCCTTATACGCGGCGAGGCGGGAACTGAGAGGCCTAGAACAAAATGTTTTGTATTTTGGCTAATGTGGGGACTTTTTATCCCCATTTTCTGTATTGAGGTTAGTTTGCGATCTACGACGCGGTTAACTGGCCTTGCTCGACGTCGTTAGTCAAATATTTGCTTGAAATAAGTTACAGGATATTAATTATACTGCCAGGAGTCGAAATATTCATACAAACGTTTGAATGAAACGTGTAAATGGGCCGTTAAGATTAGAAAATATTTTGTGTTAGGCCTCTCGTGCGCGTTTCATTCGGTGACGTGACGGAAATATAAAACACGCGCAATGAGAGGCCTGGGACTAGGCTGGAGTTACGGTGGTTTTTAGGGAGTACTATTAGTGTTTTGTCTACATTTGTGTACAGAACAGTAGCAGGTTAGGGTATTTTTATTAAAACCATACTCTTTGCCTATACTGGATAAACCAGTTTAAATGTACCGTGTTGTTTGCAGACGTTTTAAACCCTGCTAAATGTTTTCAATTAGAAGCCGAAATGGGCAAATGTTTTCATTTGGCGTAACTATGCAGCCTAGCAATCGCTTAGTTTACACTAAAGGCTGCTTTCTACTTACGCGTTTTTTATACGCATGTACACATACGGAGAATTTAAATGCTTTTAAATTTTTATTAATTAACGTGCATCTACAATCATGTGCAAAAATTATGAAACTTTACGTATCTTAATCACATTTTTTTTCATTTTGACAACTATTATGTCACGAATTTTGTTAAACTATTTACTATCCCCCCCTTCCCCATTTGACAATGTTGAGAGTGATATTTTCGGCAAATCAAATGGCTTGGTATCATAGAAACAACATTGTTTTGGGGGTAGAGGGGGTAGATACTAGGTGTCATGACCGTGTCCCAATAATTTTTGCACATGATTGTAGGTCGATTTATTCACTTAGTCCTTTCAAAGGTAGATTGAACAAGGATTTAGATTTTTACGTGCGTGTACGTGCGTATAAAAAACACGTGAGTGGAAAACAGCCTTAATCCAGATTTTGACAGAACATTAAAAC